ACACTCAACGTCAACTTCCCCTCCTACCACCCTTTCAAATTTACATCACACGTCATGTATACAACTCTGTGCTGCAGGTGCGACCTTTACTGCAAGCTGATCACATATGAGGGTGCATGTTCCTTGAGCGAACTATCGCTACCAGGCACACCTTCCGAACTACCGGAAGCAGGACTAGCCTGCGAAAACTGGGTGTCCCGGTAATGATGCGCTCGTGCTTGTTGTTTGACCTTATCGGCCGGCGTGTCTCACGACGCGATTCGACTTCCGGCGCAAGTACAAGAAAGCACATCTACAAGAACATGCATTGCCACTCTTTTCATACCCTCCACGGATCTTGCCCGTGCTCACATTGACCACCACTGATGGCTGCGCCCACTGGTTGAACATCTTGAGCACAGCGTTGCGATCTAGTGGCATCGCATGCTGGTTTGCCATGTCTTCGCATTCCACCTACAAGTTTTCATAATCTCGCGCTATGTCGTTTGTCTTTGCTGTGAGGGCAGCACTCTGGTCTCGAAGTTATATGCGCTGGACTAACTGCATGTTGCCTTCCGGCGACTCTTCATAAGCTTCTTGGACGTATCCCAGCACAGCATTCGAGGAGCGGCGTGCAAAGAATTGGATGATCAGTGCTAGCTGCTAGTGGTGCGTTCTTTCTTGCCATGTATTTCACTCCAGTTCTTCGAAATGAATGGCCACTGACTTCCGTGGGCACAAACCCATGCGCCTCAGGCAACGTGTCGCCGATGATCCCCACATCGTAGCGGAAGGCTTCGATCCCACTGCCCAATCAACGGTACATCACCTGACTCAGTTGAGCCAGGCTCCAGTTGAAGTCGCTGCTCCTGCCGTGTCTTCAAGATCTCCCAAAACAGCTGCGCGACCCCTTTTCACTCGTCCTGACTCGCAGTTTGAGGCCATGCTCTAAACATCGAACGCAAAGGTGGCACCGTCACTCGTTGCGCATGTCGCAACGCTTGTGGGATGGACTGACCCTCACTAATGCGGGACAGCGGATCAGCTAAGTCGTTGAGCACCCCTCTCAGGTGCCTACCCCACAAGGCGTCCAGTTCGAGTGCCTCCAACTGCAATGCAATCTCTCCTGCCAGCAACGACATCAGGGATGATTTGCCCCTCAGGGTCAAAGCTGTGTGGAGAGCGGACGTATACTGCCACTCTGCAAGTGAAATGGGATCGGTTCACTGTTAAACAGTTTGGAAAACAGATGACTGGACACATAAATCGCTAGCAATTCAAATTCTGACTGATACGCTGGACCATGCAACTGTGCTTGCCCCCCTAAATCCGCACAATCCTGTTCGGTCAGTATACGCGCGATATAGTGTGTGGGTTTCTCACTCACGAAAAGGACGGCGCCTCAGCCCGTTAAAAAAAGCATCAGTTTCGACCCGAACCACTCTTGGCGAGGCGTCCCACCTGTAAGTCCGAACTAACGGCTTCAGGTTTGTGTCACTACACCCACACCCTTTGAGCGACAGCATCCGACGCAACCAATGCAATGGATGCCTCACCTGACGAACAAAGGTCGGTCCCTTCCTCTCCCGGTGTCGGTGTGAGCCCGCTTGGGCCCCGTCGCTGGCCGGCTCTGTGACAATGCCACTCCTGCCCAGAGCTGGCTCGTCCATGGCCTTGCCAGCGGAATGAGATGCGAAATCCATGACAGCAACCCACACAGCTGTTCCAGCCGCTTAATGTTAATCACGGATTTGTAGGGCTCTATTTCACCGATCGCCTCCAAAATGTTGGCAACCTTTTCCGGGAAAAGCGAAACCTCCAAGGCCCTAGCCTGAACCCCAATTAACGCCAGTCGAACTCCAATCCAATCGATCGTGGTCCCTCTTTGGGTCTTGCGCCACGCCAGTTTAAATCCAAGCGAGGACCAAAGGAGAGTGGTGAAGACTTGCCACTGGCGATAATGATGGGGTCATCGACATAACATTGGAGACACGCAGTCTTGGTGGGAAAGGTGGCCTGCGCTAGCCGCATGATTGTTGCAGCCACACGACCCCAAAGCACGGGTCCACACGCAAGTCCAAAGGACACAATTGGGGAGGATGTAGGTTCCATCCAGAGCTTTAATGCATACCCATGCCCTTTCCCGAGAATCTAATTGTAGGGTGTAAAAGGCATCTGAGACATCTATCACCATCATCTCTAGATGTTCGCATGAATGCATGTCTTTCAAAAGTTCATGAACAGCTACTGCAACATCAGAGATCCTAGGTAGGCAGATGCATTCAAGTAAAGTCATGCGTCCATTGACGCCCGACCTACGCATGTCAACCATCAGCCTGGTTACCTTCTCGATGCACGCAAGCTGCGTCAGTTTTGCCTCGGGGCCAACGAGTGCGACCACTTCCTGCCACGACGATGCACGATCTGCTCTGCCTGACTTGACCATCCTGTCCAGCTCTGCCTGTGCCCGACTCCCTGCATCGTAGAACGAGGAGTAGTTCATGGCTTCACCACTCCAGTCCTCAAGCAGGATGCCAATTGTCTGGGACGCTTTGATCGAGGCTGACACATCATCCGTGGCAGGAAAGACACTCGTGTGCTCAATTGGCACACTTATTATGCCCAAAGGCACGCCCACCGCATCGCATCGGCTGCGGCTTCCAGCATTGCTCTCAAAGGTTCCTTCTTCATTTGCCTTTTCATTGACATCAAATTCCTCATGCAAGGCTTGCCTAGCCCGTTGGATCAGCTCAGGGGCCATGCTCATATCGTTTTCAAACTGCTGTATGTCTTTGTCACTGATGCTAAGCTCCAGCGCTTGTCTGATGCGATGGCCCGTTGTTCTGAGCGTCTTGCTATTTGCCACTGCCTTCGGAGGGTCTCGAAGTCCCCCGATGGCAGCCGCATCCTCTTCTTCCCTCACTTCTTTCTTTGACTTGTCCTCTGGGTTCGCACAGTGTTCTCCAGGTTGGTCTTCTTGCCTTGCCTCTTTTGGCCTGTTGGTCATCTTCTGCACCAGCTCTTCTCTTTGGCGCTTCAGCACGCTCAGCCTCTCCTTGAGCACCTTCAGCTGGTTTGCCTGTATCCGGCTGGACTCTCCAACCATTCAAGGAGCTGCATGACACAGGCCAAACGGGTATTCGGCTGCCCGTGAGGTCTTCAACACCATGCCCTGGGCTACGGCGCCCCAGGTTTTCCCAACAAGTCCTCCAGGGAGATGGAAGTGAGGCCGCGCGTCCTTGCATCGAAGCTTCACCCTGGCCATCCACGATGCTGACGTCGTCCTTTGTTGAGTGTGCACCATATAGGGGCATTGATCCAAAGCCACATTGTGCACATGCTTCAGCTTTAGGACTTTGGTCATCTTGCTGTGGTCCCATGCAAAGGAGTGCTCCGGGTTCTCCA